ACCCTAACCCTAACCCTAACCCTAACCCTAACCCTAACCCTAACCCTAACCCTAACCCTAACCCTAACCCTAACCCTAACCCTAACCCTAACCCTAACCCTAACCCTAACCCTAACCCTAACCCTAACCCTAACCCTAACCCTAACCCTAACCCTAACCCTAACCCTAACCCTAACCCTAACCCTAACCCTAACCCTAACCCTAACCCTAACCCTAACCCTAACCCTAACCCTAACCCTAACCCTAACCCTAACCCTAACCCTAACCCTAACCCTAACCCTAACCCTAACCCTAACCCTAACCCTAACCCGATTAATTTACCCCAGTTTAATTACAATTGTCGGGGGTCGATTGTCGGGGGGTCAATTGTCGGGGGGTCAATTGTCGTACTAAGCCCTAGTTTTCGCGACAATTGACCCCAGTGTAATTACATAAAGGGTCAATTGTCGGGGGGTCAATTGTCGGGGGGTTAATTGTCGGGGGGTCAATTGTCGTACTAAACCCTAGATTTCGCGACAATTGACCCCAGTGTAATTACATAGGGGGTCAATTGTCGGGGGGTCAATTGTCGGGGGGTCAATTGTCGGGGGGTCAATTGTCGGGGGGTCAATTGTCGCGGTACCAAAATTTTGTATCTAGACATTTTCTGGCGCATATTTGAAACACATTATATCAGATAAGTTGGGTCGGAGAAATGTGGGGGTCAACGTTTGATGGTGTGTACACTTTTCAGGTGTACTGTGTAGTGCGTAGCTTTCATATTTATTTTTAATGTATTTTTTAATATTCTGTATCACTATGGTATGTTCTAACGATTACAGACGTGTTACATTCTTATTTTTGTATCCTTATTTTCGTGATATATAATAAGGCCCCTTATAAAGGGAGAAAGAGTTGGAGAGAGGGAAAGTAAGCGAGACACTTAAGTATCACAATGCTGGCAAGCATTACCGTCGCCCTTATATTCACAATACTATTTACCCCCTATACTATTATATCCCCTTTATTGTTTTCCAGGCATTAAGACTCATCGAAAGTAGTTCAGCAGGTATATTTAAGTTCAAAACATTCTAATTCAATGTTAAAGATGACAGGAATAAGAAATAGTTATATGGAGGTTTTTAAGACATTTGCGCAAAATACGCGCCAGCATGTTAGTATACGAAATTAGGTAAAAAACCCAAAATCGCCATATTCAGGTGCCTTAAAAACCATGTTAAAATTGAGTAAGAGATCTGAAACTTTGCAGGGCGTCTAGACCTTGTCCAAATCGACTGTAAACAAAATTTCATGTTTCAGCAGTATCGGCAAGTGGGTTTTCTGGAACCCCTGTTTTACAACAGATTGTCGTGAAGTATATCTATCTATCTATCTATCTATGTATAGACGCTTTTGGCAGTCAATTGTAGCCTACATTTAAGTGTCCGTAGATCCAAAAGTATAAACGATACAGTCATCTCGAACCACAGGTTTTAAAGATAATCGTTTAAGCTTTAGTTTACATTGTATTGAAAAATAATTTAACGTCATCATCATCACTTGATGACGTCATCAAATTAAGTGTTTTTAAAACTTAATTTTTGACAAAGTAACAACTTTTCAAATCGATTTTACACCATTAAGGAGTAATTTTATTCAAAATCTGAGGACATTTTCACCTTAAATAATTGTTCAAGCATTCCGAAAATCTACCGGAAAAGTTTCCTACCTTGCTCCTTCATAAAGATATTTGCTATTGAAGTTAGTGCTTTTTTGAAGAATAATTTTATAAAAACACAAAAGTTGTGAATTAGTATTCTCTGGTGTTGGGCCATCCCTTGGGTTGTGGAGCTCAATTTTGCTTCTTAAAGGTCTAAATTGTGTTATAGGCTAGTTTTAAAGTTGAAAATCGAAAAGTTGCACACGTGGGGACACGCCCAAATTGATTTAAAATAGCTAAAATCACTAAAAATTGTTATTTTCACGATTTTTATCAACTTTGGAGTCCCGTTGTGATCCAAGTTCTTTTTGAAATCTTCTGAAACTTTGCATGCTTATCAAACTATATATTAAATACCACTATGCAAAAATTTACGGTGATTCAATATTGTATGCGCACGCAACGTCCGCTCAAAGTTTGCACGTGCGAAAGGTGAGAATTTTGCTCATTCGTGATTTCGAATATATTCTGCTTTCCACAATATTTAAATGGCATTATATATGAATTTAATGCCAACCTAAATGAGTAAAAAGTGCCATATTCAGTCGGTTATCGACAGATATACCTACCTAAACACAAGGAAAAGTTTTCAAAGGCAGAATATCGAAATCGTTGAAATTATCTCCTTATTTATAATTATGTTAATGAAGTTTCGACTGTGTAAATTATCCTGACATTATAATCAAAAAGAGATGATATTTGACCAAAACCCATAATCATGGGTAGAGTGTACCGCTGCCAGTGTCTCTCTTTTCCAAACAAAAGGAAATGATATTAATTTGAGGAACCGTCCGCTAATGCAAAATGATACCGAGAATGAAATCGGTCGCTCGCTTTTCCCATTTAATAAGCTTTATTACAATTCGTAAGCCGTGAATGAATGGGAAAAGCGAGCGACCGATTTCATTCTCGGTATCATTTTGCATTAGCGGACGGTTCCTCAAATTAATATCATTTCCTTTTGTTTGGAAAAGAGAGACACTGGCAGCGGTACACTCTACCCATGATTATGGGTTTTGGTCAAATCACATATATTATATTATATAGGTTCAGTCACTCCACAAGTTGATTCGAATTATCTAAGCTTACGCTGGATTTGCATTAAATCTGCAGCGTTCGACTTTACATTTAATAATATAACGGAAAACCTGCATAAATAGTGCAAACCTGTTGTGGGTAGGGGAAAGGTTAGGCAGGTTTTGTCTTAATTCTGCAGGCTTTTCTAATAATCAACAACTCAATTAAATAATCACGTGAGATACATCTCTGCGCGAATAAGATAAATAGGCAGGATTGCGGGAATCATATTAAGGCTTTAGATTGATTATCAGCCTTACTGTAAAACCTGCCAAATTAGGTGGCAGGTGGCCATGGCTTGAAGGGGCCTTTTTAATGGACGGTAAAGTGAGGCTATCAGATCATTCCTAATTTTTGAATTGCGTTTGAACAATAACGTCCTTTAAACTATCCTTTGACCTGGTATACATTATATGGATACTTTAGGTCGATGGCACTTATAGACTCCACCTATTATACCCTTTCTTTCTTTTGATGAAGGGTAAAATAAGGCTAACTATCAAGGTTTTGTTAATTTATACTTGTTCTACTGCTTCTTCGGACTAGCCCTTCAAATTGTTTGGAAGCCTCATTTCACCATTTCAAAAGATGGTTAGCCTCATTTTCACCTCAAATATTTAAAGCTTAGATCTCGATCAAGTATAATCACTATCTATACTCATACTAGACTTATCTAAAGGTAAAGGACGACTATCTGCCAATGTTTAGTGGCAAAGTTGTTTCGCATGATAATAAACCGAGATGAAGTTTATGAACATTTTTTCAGTAACTTAATATGCAAAACGAAGACAAGTATTGGACAGGGCAGAACAGAATTATTCCATAAATGTTCAAAATCAAATATCATAACACAAAACCTCCAGTATAAGTGAATCTACGGATAGTTTAAATTCTTTAATAAACAGGTTGAAATCATAAACTTTGTTTTAGAACTTCATTTTTGAAATATTTATCAGAATTGAGTAATGATCGTTAAATTGAAGTGACATTGTAAAATTCGCCCGGGGCTGAAGTAGCTGAAACCAAGTTTAAAGCCTAAATTGAAAAACTAAATTGAAAACTGGATAAAAGAAATCAGTTGGTCTTTCACTGTGCAGCTACTTTCTTTTAAACTATCAATAACTTACAGATACAACATTGATAAGTGCCGTAAAGGCGAAGAAGCAATTAATGAGCTATTCAATAACAATAAATTATTATGCATTAATGATTAAAGCCATCTCCTATTCAAATGCTCAATTTAATTGAACTTCATACTTCATACTCATAGGTTCACTTTCCAGTTATTAATTTTGATGTGACTCATGGGTGCCATCTCAGGACTCATTTTTTAGAAACATTTTATTCTCCATAACCTTCTTGTAAATTTTAGATCCTCTCTTTACAAAATATGGGACAAAACCCCGACCCACTAATTTCATTTCCATATTATAGGCCCATATCGGAACCGGAGAGTGAACGAAAAGATTTATTTTGATCCGACCAAAATGTCAACTTTGTTCAAATCTTAAGCACACTTTTGTTTAAAAGTGAACTTACATTTGGATTTAAAATCCACGGTGGTACTAAATGATTCGTCTGATCAAGCTGATTACGATTCTGTACAAAATATTTCAAAAAAACTGATACTTTTTGAGTAATAAGCATTTTAAGCCTTAAATCTACCATTTTTGGCCCTTTTTACGATGAATTTTACTAAGTCGTTTGAGGCCACATTTCATACCTTAAAACTCAGAATTGAGAGAAATCCTGTTCCAAAAAGTTGGATATGATCATCAGCTACACTCACAAGAATTTTTGAAGCGATATCTGATGACCTGGGCGAGTGGTAAATGTACAACTTTGGTGGTAGGCAAAGTTTTTTCACCTTGTTTAGTCTGTAACTTGGTCATTTATTGTTCAATTATATAATCCTTTAAAGGGTTGTCTTGTACGGAGTGTAAGTAATGTTCAGTAAAAAAATCAGCCAAAAAACTTTTAAAATGGCCGAAGTATCGGTATTACAGTGACAGACTTCTCCAAATTTTAAAAATTTTCGAAAAAGAAAAATATTTTTTTTCTCGATGAGGGAATATTTTTAGAAAACTTTTAAGGTGTGCAATCTTATTCTTTTTGTCTATTGAACCATAATATAAAATAAAATCGATGTTCGGAGCAAAAACGTTTTTGGTGTATCTCCCCTTAAGTATACCCAGTGACGAACCTAACAAGTTCTATTAAATATCTACATTTCCTGCTCCTCCGCTACCTTGTTGTGTTTATGTGATGACAGGGGACTGGCTGTACTTCTGGACCTATCATACACCTGCCTGGGTAAAGAAAGCATATCAGTAGTCTTTGAAGCAAGGTTAGCAAGGGGCATACTCTGGTACCTGCCATTTGTGGCCGAGTTCTCAACTAAATGTACCTGAACAGTCCCACAAATCAGTGAGATTTCCTGGATAAACTGTCGAGATCTGAAGATGTAGATAAGGGGATTGACAGCACTGTTCAGGTAGATCAACATCTCAGAGATCGATCTGTAGTAGAACCAGAACCGGGTGATGGGAGTGTTCTTGTCCACCTTGAAGAAGACTAGAGCGTAGCGGGGAACGTAGCATATAGTGAACGCCAGAACGACCATGAGAGCTGTTCTAGAGGCCTTTACGAGGGAGCTAGTGTTGCCAAGTTTCTGTGCTCGACCCCTCTGTGCTAGAGTGTGCAGCTTCACTATGTTAGCGACGGAGGTGAAGGCTAGAATAGCGTTGGAGATCACGAAGGTGGGCACGAACAGGAAGTCTACGTATTTCATGAGGACGGGGTGGTTCATGATGTCCCACATGCAGTAGATGAACACGGGGCTGTAGACGTAGGTAGTCCAGTAGAAGTAGGGGATCACTGCGATCAGCAAGCAAAGCACCCACGCTGTCACCTGTCAGGATATGATTTAGATTTGGCATCTTTATTCTGAATTTTGGATAATTTCTTTTATCGATTATTGCAATTATCATAGATTTTAAACGCATTTGAGAACATATTGAAACTTAAATTCCTGATATTTGAATATGTTTTAAGGTTCTAATTCTAAATCTGATCTTTTTGTACTGACCGACGAAACAACAGATCGTTTATACGTGATCAGAGTTTTGTAGCGAAGAGGAAACCGCAGAGCTCCGAATCTGTCTATTGCTATGAAGCAAACCGCAAAAAAGGACATCTGAAAAGTGAAAGGTTAACACTGTTATACTTATAACGGAGAAAACTTGATTTGGATGACAAAGATTAAGTTAGTACGACAAATCACTATACATTTCGCCAACAACAATTACTCTTCGATTATCATAAATCCCATGAACCTGTCATATACCCATATATACCACTGCCTTTTCAAAGTTTTCATGCAGTAACCAACAAAATTTATATGTTTTTTGTAAATCGGTTCAGAAATGGGCGAACGTATCAATTCATTACGGTTAGCCAATATATCTCTTGTTCACGACAATTTATTTGACCATGTGCAATGTGCATCGATTAACGATTTCAAACTCATTTGTATTCCTTTTAATGGTTTTTCATTAGATTTCTAAGACGCCCGACCTTCTAAAGTTCTAATCATATACAAGATATATCTTGTGAATATAAAACATAATAGTAATATAAAAAGACCCAATGTTTGCCAGCTGGTTCTATCCCTCAGAACTTACCGCCCCACCTAGTTTGTAACCACAGCTTTGCAAACTCAAAACATTTATCTTATAAAGATCTAATTAAGCACAGCTGCAAATTAAGAGAGAAACCGTACTCATGACCTAACGTTAGTTCATTAGCCTTCATCAGTTGATGTACAACCTGTGTTGTAGGTTCTAGCTTGGGTTAAACGGTTTCTAACTTATGACGTAAGACTCGTGACTGAGCACCGTGTTCTTAGAAAGACCAGGGCTATTAGTTTACAAGGTACAGAATAGTATTTTCTTAAAACAGCTGTTACGCGTTGAACTAAAATGTTCCAAGTCATGACGACTGAAGCTGATGACTGTATCAAGTTACATGTGCTCCAGGCAAAATTCAAAAGCATATTCTCAGATAGAAAGCTGCGATCACAGCTTATATACATGAATAAATAAGTAGCGATAGTTGTAATAAATAGTGATTTCATATCAGACTAGTATACTGTATAACACGTGCGTGCATGTTGCTAGGATGGGGTATAATTATATAAACTATCATACTAGCGAACAAGATTACCTCAACAGTCAACATGCTATATTGTGGTATATGAGGTGGACCATGGCTGATTGATATGAGTGGATTTTACTTACTTCAGCTTCACTATTATAAGTATCACGTACGTCGTACAGGTGGGGAATATAAATAATTTATAACTGTAAACAAGATTATTACCCCAAATATTGTAGTATATAGTGCACCATAACTGATGAGGCCTCTAGAATGTGTATCTTATTACTGAACCTAACGCTATGCTGTGTTCAGGTACAATGATTAGGAATATCAGGTCTTCCGTAAAAATCTGTCCATATAAACCAATTTCATTGGTAATTTATCTACAGTTTCAAAAAACTGTGATTGCAGTGTTTCCAGACTCTGTTAATGAAGGAAAGGAACCCATAAATATATCACTTAAATTTATTTAACCACATTTGAACTTTGATCCACGCGGATTAATTTCTTCACTTATAAAATTGCGGACTATTTATTCAAAATTCTCCAGAATATTAATGACCTTTTAGCCTCATTTTAATTAGTGTGGTTCATGCGGGCAGTATTTCTTTACAGCTGCGATGCTTATTATCATGATTAAAATATTTAAATTAGCATTTACTACTATTCTAAATTTACTGATGGACTCATGACAAATTAAGCCGTAAAATATCCATAGGATTATAAAATTATAAAATCCTCACAATAGGTCAAAATATGCCGTTGCAGCTGTTAATACCTGTCTCACGCAGAAGTAAATGACTCCAGAAATGTTGCAGAGTATCCTGCCCACAGAGGAGTTGGAGTCGTTGCTGAGTACGTAATCTCGCTGATTGAGAAGGGAGGATATCACCACAGGTAACTGGAATATACACAGTCCTAGATCACTCACTACCTGAAGAAAGGGAAACTTTAGGGTTGTATAAAGAGAAAGGGAAACTTTAGGTTTGAAGAAAGAGAAAGAGAAATATCATGCTTTTAGTTTCACAATATAAGTATGTATTATAGCAGCCGTGTTAATTTATTTGAGAATAGTTTGTAATCAATTTGGTTTGTGTGAGGTACAGTTTTATGTTTTCACTTTTGAGTTAGATGCGTTATTTGCATTCTTATATTCATTTTACTTTCACTTTTGACTACTGCACATTATAATTTGATTGCAGTGCTGTCTCAAAATACTAGTGAAGGTGTGCACAATATGACACACACTCACTTGACACGCTTGTAACAATTCTTAAACACTGTCGGTGCTAGGTCATGCTCATATTCATTTGAAATTAATTTTGTCTGCCCTGTAACTACAATATTCTTGAAATATCATAATGAGTATTGAACACGTGTTTGAACACGTGGGCTTCCCAAAGCTTCAAAGTGAACCTGCACGTGCATTTAAAGATTCAACTGACCAAACTGAGAATGAACAGGTTGCTGGGCAGCTGCTTTCTCAAGAGTCGTACCACTGAGATACACATGAGGGCGTTACCAACTAACGCCGTCACCATGACCAGAATGTTCTCGATCGCTAGGAAGACCTCCAGTCTGCTGTTGATCAGGGACTGAATCATTTTCCTACTAGGGACTTAGGGAGAGTGAAGATTATTAGCATTTGTTGTTTGATACGAGTAGACCGGCAATAATAACACTGGTGAATGTGAATAGCATGAAAAACATTCAATCGTTTATTCAATAGAAGAAATGAATTAAATGGTCTCCTAAGAACAAATAACATTCGGGGATTACAAAGGCAATTTAGAGCCAGGAAACGGCAGCTGACTGTCCATCCAATAAAAGGTGTCAAGAGTGACAGTAGTATTATCGATTATGCTCGAGACCCCGTAATATTGGGTCCCTTAAAGTCGCACGAGCAGTTTATGCTAATTGCTAAAAGCTATTGTTCAACCGAATCCAAGACTACTGTTCTGTCTGTCATGTATAACATCGAAATAATTTTGCATTCGAAACAGAGCGCATATTATTTCAAACAAATATTAGCTAGCGTTCATCAGCGCGAACCATGTCACCGGATGGGACCGTCACCATATCATTCATAGTCACACAGCAATCATAACGCTCATTATTGATAATATGGCCGCTTAGGTAATATCTGAAATCGAATGGTCCCACCGGGATTTAATATTACTAGTATCGTCATGCGCCCTGTATTCGGTCTCGTAAGTCATAACACTCCAGTCGTAGTAAGGTTCGTGATAACTGACCAATGGCCATGCGAACATTTCTAAACTGTAAAATTTACCTTAAAAGCTTAAAGAATTCTTTTTTAGATTAAAAGAAAATTACTTATAATGAACAATCAAGGCAAGCTCATTTTTCAAAGATTCTTCTTCAAGATGAAATGAACACCTGTAATACTATGTTTCTTAAAACGTAGGAAGCCTAATTACCACTACTTTGCTTTTTGATTCTGTATCTGATATAAAGGAGTTTTAAAAGCAGGCAAGACCATAAAAAAGACACAAGTCAACATGGCTTATACAAGATATGATAATTCAGCTTGAGATCACCATTAGTAGTAGATATATAGCACCATTATCGACTTGAATGTGATAATACATTAATGGAATAGAAAGAGAACAAAAAGAAAGATGATCTGGATCAATATAACCCCATTACATTTTTCCATATCATCTAGGTTTGTGCAGAACATAATCGGTTGTTTAAAATGGGGTGTGGTCACTAGGGACCATGGTGGAGGATAAGACGCGGCCTGGGGAGTTATAAGACAATTAATTAGCTCTGCTCACTCATTGTTGGGACTCTGCACTATGATATCCTGATTCTACGGAATTTTAACGGTGTGTGTACTGTGTATACAATATAATACAACCGGTCGATGGATAGTCAATAGTATTAAATAAATTAAAACTATATTAAATAAATTAAAACTATATTGATATTTTTCATTCAAATTAAAACAAGTTAAAACAAATTCTTTATGCCGTGCATCCTGGGTTTGAACAGGATATGCCCGCTTAAATATGACATAAAGAACAGTCGATCACTCAGAAGCACAAACGTTGACCAGGTCGGCAGTTTCATTAAAATATTAATCATATAAACTTTTAACCACAGTACCAAAATGATGTCACGTCATGTGGCGACTTTGATGGTGCCACCGGGGACAAATAGTTACTTACTGCATCATGTAATCTTTTAACAGTCACGTGAGCTCCCTTTATTTTCCTAAAGTACTACCAGGAAACTAAAGGGAGCTCACTTTTCTGTTAAAAGATTACCTAATTCAGTTATTGACATCTAGCATAACTAGGGATGATTAAACTCAAATCAGTAATTTACTTATACTCGAGTATTTGTAACTTAAGTAACACGTGCTGTTCTTTGTAGATTTTATTCGATCAAAAAGTACGTTTCCAATACGATAATATAAGTCCAATGTCCGTAGCAGGTTATAACGGTAATAAAGATAAAAGATGATTACCGTAGTATACTACTATTACTAGCATTAGATTACGAAAAGGATGATAGAAGCAAAAATATTACCATCTATTCCGTCGAAACTGATGTGATCGGGAAAAGTTAAGACCAGTTTGGTCAGATTGAAGAGATTTTACTGATTAGACACTATCACACTATTGTCGATATTTAGAATAAAATATTCATCAGAATTAGCGTTTTAGACTAATTATATCAACATTACTATCAACATCAGCAATCCGAGAATAATCTTGAACTCCACTAGAATTAATACGATCACCTTTCACCATACAGATTTGACGTAGTTTGACTCCAATGGAGTAACTCTATAAATTTATGATCTTCCAATGATAATCACAACTTAATCCTGGCAGACCACAGCATAAAATAGTTATCAAATTTAATTCGCTTCATGCTAGGTAACACCCACAAGAATCATTTACCTTAAAGTTTAAATACCTCCGTGCTTCATAACTCTACTAAAAATGGCGGCGGTTTAAGTAGCGGCGTGGAAAACTACTGTAACAGCTGGTTTAGGAAGTAATAAAAGTCGGCTAGGTTCTATTTAAATGGAGCTGTGCAAAGTATTGAAGAGCTTGGGAAACCGTAATAACCATGGTAATCGTGACTATAATAGCCGGTTATTATAGCAAATGAAATTGTTTCATTTCCACCAAAGTAGTGAACACTCCCAGGGATCTTACGTGGATAAACTGTTCATTTAAAGGGAAATCTGGTTTCGACTGCTTCAAAAACTCGCTACTACACCTATTTACTAGTAAAATAGTAAGGAGCTGACAGCAACTTAGTGCTCTGCAGTCTGCATGGTTGACGTATACAAGCAGTGAATTTAATGTGGCGGGTGAATTAATTACATTAGACAGTTCTGCAAATCGTTTTGAACTTTTATTTCGACAACGCCAAAACGTTTATAAAATAATAATATTATCTTGCGGTCAAGCTTTGAAAATATCACTTTTATATAGTACCATTTATACCACCCATACAAAATGAACAGCACTGTCGGCGCAGAACGACGAACTAGAAGCTGCATCATCAACATGTACTAGTAATCTCCGGGCAATTGTGAGTTTTTAGGCTCCATGATGGCTATAGTACGGAACAGCTGGTCAGTGGTCACATATTATAAGCCGGACAATTTTCAGCTATTTCTTATGTAAAATCAAGTAGTATAACTTCGGCAGCGGGGACCGGTAAATTAATGAATTATATCTCAGCATGTGTTATAGAGCACGATATTGTGATTAGTGGGGTCTGAAAAAGGTACGAACTACATATTATAGCATATGCACAGTTGTGACACAGTAGTAGCGGTGACACTGTAGTGACACGGCAATGACATAGTAATGACACAGTAGTTACACGGCAGTGACCCAGAAGTTACCCAGCATGGTTACACAGCAATATACAACAGTAGTAGCGGTGACACGGCTGTTGCAACCAAGTTTGCCACTAAGATTTTATAGGTGTTGTATCATTTGCCAAATATGCTGCATGAGTCTCTACCCACATTATAGATGCATTAAAATACTAAGTCCCTATTCAAATTATAGATGTATTAAAATACTAAGTCCTTATTCAAATTATAGGTGTATTAAAATTTGTAACGACCCGCACCTTAAATGCCCCTAATATACTCAGTTACAATCATGATCAGTTCTACTAATCCTTTGTGTGGACTTATCAACATCAGATCTTTGGGATGTCTCTTACAACTACTTTAGATTCGTGTTTAGTTCGATAATAAATCTACCGCTAACCAAAAGCGGACCTAATGATTTGACGCCGTTTACAGATATGGCAGCCAGACTTGTAATGGCCAGTATATTCACAAAGGCAAATGGATTGAAAGGCCACATATTGGCGCCAATTGCGCCCTATTGTATATTTTAGGTACTCTACTGCCATCTCTCACAATGTTGAACTGATTTAGCTATAATATAAGAAAGGCTAACATTATTATTTGAGACTATTTAACGAATTACGGGGCTAGTATGGGCAAATGAAATTGAAAGGAGATCTAAAGTACCAAATTATTTAGCTCAGGATTTCACAAAGAAGTATAAAAGTTTGTTGCGAAACTGTACTGGCGTGTTCCAGCCCTAAAAGTGAGCAGAAACTGTTTCGGCAGTATATATGACGATTAGTGTTTGGTCACTGACTCTCACTGTAGTAAACTGAGAAATGTCTAGTCTCGGCGCTATCACAATCAGTGAGCTGTCATCGCATGTAATTTGAATGCACGCTGAAACCCACCAAAGGTCATGCGCCATTTACAACTTCGCTATTTTCTTATTTAGCAATCTCGCCGACCAGATAATCTCAAACAGAGAGGAGAGTGGAGACACCCTCCCTGATATTATTTAGAAACAGAGAGGAGAGTGGAGACACCCTCCCTGATATTATTTAGAAACAGAGAGGAGACACCCTCCCTGATACTATTTAGAAACAGAGAGGAGACACCCTCCCTGATATTATTTAGAAACAGAGAGGAGACACCCTCCCTGATATTATTTAGAAACAGAGAGGGGACACCCTCCCTGATATTATTTAGAAACAGAGAGGAGACACCCTCCCTGATATTATTTAGAAACAGAGAGGAGACACCCTCCCTGATATTATTTAGAAACAGAGAGGAGACACCCTCCCTGATATTATTTAGAAACAGAGAGGAGACACCCTCCCTGATATTATTTAGAAACAGAGAGGAGACACCCTCCTGATATTATTTAGAAACAGAGAGGAGACACCCTCCCTGATATTATTTAGAAACAGAGAGGAGACACCCTCCCTGATATTATTTAGAAACAGAGAGGAGACACCCTCCCTGATATTATTTAGAAACAGAGAGGAGACACCCTCCCTGATATTATTTAGAAACAGAGAGGAGACACCCTCCCTGATATTATTTAGAAACAGAGAGGAGACACCCTCCCTGATATTATTTAGAAACAGAGAGGAGACACCCTCCCTGATATTATTTAGAAACAGAGAGGAGACACCCTCCCTGATATTATTTAGAAACAGAGAGGAGACACCCTCCTGATATTATTTAGAAACAGAGAGGAGACACCCTCCCTGATATTATTTA